AAAAAAAAAAAAAAAAAAAAAAAAAAAAAAAAAAGAAAAAGAAAAAAGTGAAACAAAATTTATTAACAAAATAATAGGAGAAAAAAAAACAGTTAATACATTGCATATTGTTATCTTCAGTGTAGTTACTCAGAGTACAAGATATAGGCATAAAAAACTCTCCAATTGATATTAGCACAAACCTTTCTTTTAAATGGGCTGAGAGAAACGAGTACTATAGCTAATTTGTATTTCTTTCCTTTTCCCTTCCTTCCTTTCCCCTTTTCCCCACTCGAGTTCCTTTTGCCTTTGGAACAATTTGTTCCCATTTCACAATATCTATTGTACATTTTAGACCTTGTTTACTCTTTCAGTTTCTCACACCAGGGAGACAATACGATGTTAGACATGTGAGTCTAAACACACATAAATAAAGTGGTTTATTTCACTTGTGAGTATGGTCTCAAGTTGGATCTGTTTACCTATGAAAGTCACAAGTTGATCCTTCTTTGCGGCTGAGTTGAATATACAGTTCCAAGGATTTTGTTGTGTGTGTCAGAAGGAACAGGGAAAAATACTCTTTCATCTTCCCAGAGGTGCAACTCTCATCTTCATGAAGGATGCTGACATCTCATTTTTCTTTTAACGCTGAAAGCTGTTTTCCTGCGTGATCTGCTGGGCTGCACTGGTTCTGACAAGAAGTCTGTTGTCTGTTTTCCCTTCCTTTGGAATTTTTTTTATTTCTAGCTGCTTTGAAGATTTCATCATTTGTCTTAAGCAGTTCTACTTGGGGTTTATTGAGGTTCTTAAATATGTGCATGTACTATCCCATGAAACTGAGACAACATTTGATCATTTAAGAAGAGCAGAGATTTCACAGAATAAGGTTAATTTTTTTTTGTGTAAAGATCTTCAAACTTCTCTTTTTTTTTTTTTTTTGCTACTGGGAATCAAACTCAGGATCTTGCACTTGCCAGGCAGGTGCTTGTGCCACTGAGCTATATCTACAGCCAAGATCTTTGAACTTAAGTACCTGAATAGCATTCATGTAAACCACCACCTCACCTCAGTCAGAATACAAAGCCATTCCTTCACCCTAAAATCCTTCCTTGTGCTGATCTTTTGTAGAAAGTATTTCTTGATGTATTTGTTCCATCCCTTTACTTTCAGACTGCAATTAAATGCATATCATGGACAACTTGAAATTGTCCCACAGCTCAGTGACACACTTCCCCTTTGTTACTGTTATTTTAAGGTTTCTTTTTTCTCTTGGTGTATTATTATGGCTATGTTCTCTCCATACTGAATGTCTTCTGAATTTTGAGTTTTATTGTGGGATGTAGTGAAGGAGAGATAGTTTGATTGTTTCAAGGATTTTAATGCTTTATTAGGTAAGCTCTGAACAGGTTTTGTCTAGGCAGAACCTGTTGATAATTTGGGACTGGGTAATTCTTTGCTGTAAGGGGATATCTTGTTCTTTGTAAGGTATTTAGTAGTATACCTGGCCTCTAACCATTAGTTGCCAGTAACACCACTCAGCATGAACTGGGAATCATTTATTACTTGTTTTGTTTTGGTCTTTTTGAGACAGGGTCTCACTATGCAGTTCAGGCTGGCCTTGAGCTCACTTTGTAGTCCAGGCTGCTCTTGAACTTGCAATGATCACCCTGCTTTTTTTTTTTTTTTTTTCATTTATTACATTTTTAAAAGACTGTTTTTAAAAAGAAGAAGAAAATGTAAATAGAGACCACAATATGTGGCCAGGAAAGCCAGAATATTTACATAGAAATCTCTAACTCCTGTTAAGGGGGACACTGCTTCACTATTGAAACTAGCGATAGTACAAGAAAAAAATTCTTATTTTTCCAGGATAGAGTCACTAAGACCACAGCTTTCTAAACTAGGAAAAGTATGAGTCAAGTCTGATTATGTGACCTTGGGCAAATTTTTAACTCTCTGAGCCTTTTTTTTTTCCTCGTGAACTACAGCCAATATATACTTATCATTTAGGTTTTTTAGAGAATTAAATGAAAATAAAAGTAGATAGGTTAATGCATACACCTAGCAGCTGGTACTGTTCTTTCACTTCAGGAATGTGCTCTTCATTTATGGTTTACTGTCTAGTCGAGTTTTGTTAATATGGAGCATTGTTGTCTATCTTGCAGGTCATGTGGAAGGATTTTGTATGATGTGTACAATGCAAGACCATATTACCCAGGCACTCAATAGTCCTGGGGACATTATTAAACCCAGGTTTGTCATTGATGAAATGCAGAGTAAGTATCAACCAGAGAAGTATTTTTCAACAAGGTAGTCTTTTCCTGAGATGAGGACTAATGTTGTTGCCTAAGGCATCCCACTAACTCAGCCTCCTGGGTAGCGGAGATTAACAGGTATGCAGTATTATGCCTGGCCTTTAGCTAGTTAGTCTTAATGGCCTAAATGATTAAAAGAAACCCAAAGTTTATTACAAAATAACTCACATGTATTTATTGTACATGGATATATCTTTTTTTTTTTTTTTTGGAGACAGAGTCTTGCTATATAGTGCAGGCTGCCCTTGAACTCATTATGTAGCCCAGGCTGGCCTCAAACTCATGGCAATCCTCCTGAATCAGCCTCCTGAGCGCTAGGGTTACAGGTGTGTGCCACCATACCCAGCTGGATAGGTCTTTAATTAGTAACAGATGTTTAGTTAAACATTTACTATACAAGCTATTTATTAAATTTTAAAGAGATGACACTATAATAAAGACCATAGTTTAACATAAGCAAATTTTAAATGATTTAAAACTGAGCTTGTTAATAAAATTATTTAAAAGGCCTTTTCTCAGATAATTGGATTTCTGTGCTGAGTAGTCTAACTCTCATATTATGTCTTTCTTTAAACGGTTTATATTTAGTTTTAATTTGGTAAATTAATCCTGTATTATACATAGTCACAAGAATTGTCAAAATAAAGGTAACTATACTTTCTCAGAAAAATTTATACTCATAGTAAATTTATGAACAAACTAAATTTATGAACAAACTTCAATTTTTACTGTTTAATTTTAAATTTCTAAATAGGTTGCATGAAATTTTCTGAGGTATTTTCTAAGTGCCCCCTCCACTCCAGCCCCCACAGCTGAGGGTCTCACTGTGTAGCCCAGGCTGGTCTCAAACTCAAGATCCTCTGCGCTCAGCCTGGGATTACAGGCTTGCGCCACCACTCCAGGCTCTGTGTGCCTTTTGCATTCACTTTTACATCATTTTGATTAGCCAAGTTGTACTAAAATTGCATACAAATAAAAACTGCTTTTCACTCTTCATGTGGTATCTAGCTTGGTAATTATAGGGATGCATAATTATAGAATGATAAACTATAATCCTCTTGTCTTAAAAGCTGCTCAAGATTAAAGATCAAATTGGCCCTTGGCATTATTGGTGGACAGTGCAGAAATCTTTAACACATATTGGCGTCAGGCGTGGTGGTGCACGCCTGTAATCCCAGCACTTGGGAGGCTGAGATAGGAGGATCTTTGCGAGTCTGAGACCAGCCTGGGCTACAAAGTGAGCTGAAGCCCAGTGTGAACTCCATAGGGAGACCCTGTCTCAAAAAGACCAAAACAAAACAAAACATATTCGGTTCTGGCAAAATTTTAGGCAGGACAATTCTGATTATTTTGATTATGTATACATTTGTTTTTAGACATGTATATATAGCAGGCAGGAGTAATAATCTAGTTTTTAGGAAAGTGTCACTGCTCTGAATGTGTGCAGGTATACACACATGCAGTTGAATCATGGAATTGCTATTTATATAGGTCAAAACTGGTGGAATATTGGAAGTTCTATATTGTTTAAGCTAGAATATATTTACATACTTACACATATAAAACTAAGTGTCTAATAGGTTTTGTGCTATTAATACATTTGTGCTAGTGACTGATTTATACTTTTTAAAAATGCTTTCTTCTTGCAACTGCTTAGTCATTTAGAAGGACTGAAATGTTACTGTGCAGCTGAGAATACGACTTGTTCTGCATTCACTGGTGCGGAATTGCGTAGGATGGACATTTGTGTTCTGCACAGGTCTCTTACGGATTTGGGTGTCATATTTAAAACAGGTGCACTAACCTACCATTTTGGACGAGCTTGAGTCACTAGAACCAGTGTGGACTTTATTGAAGTGGAACTGTATTAACTTGGTAAAGACACAGAGTCACTCTGTGGCTGCTCCCAGACTCTCAGGAACTGCAGCTCCTGTGGGCTCTCGGTGAAAGTGCACGGTGCTTGTGTTAGTGCTACTTCCTTGTTAGGTGTAATTATTTGGGGGTTTTCTGAGTAACATGAGGTATAACTTTGGGCTGGGGATATAGCTCAGCGGCATAAGTGCCTTCCTGGCAAGAACAAGGTCTTGAGTTCGATTCCCAGTACCAAAAAAAAAAAAAAAAAAAAGATGTAATTTTGCAGCCTAGGCATTTGTCTTGGTTACTTTTCTCTCATTGCTGAGACAAAATACCCAATGCCCAAAATGAAGGAAGGAAAGGTTTATTTAGCTTACAGTTTGTGGAGGTTTCAGTCCATACTTGGCTGGCTCCGAGGCAGAAGATAACAAAGCAACAAGAGCAAAGAGGGGAATGGCAGCCGAACAGCAAACAGCCAGAGCAAACCAGAAGAATGGCTGCAAGCAGCTTCTTTCCCTGCCTTACATTGTAAACAGGCTACCCCCACCTAAGGGGCGTGTAGCTCTCACATAATCTCCATGCCCTCCTCTTGCACAGGCTCAGGATGTATACAAAGTAAGCACCCTGGCTTCCTGCTGAGTCACTTAGCCAAACCTCTAGACTCCCCAAGTTGACACAATGTATCAACCATAACAGCATTTAATATGTAATGATAAAGCCTTGTCTTTACTTAAAACTTATAGGTATAGCTAGGACCTGCTGTTCTGGAAAACAAAAAGATGCCCATGAATTTCTTGAGTACACCATTGACGCTATGCAGGAAGCATGCTTGGCTGGCATCGATGAGTGAGTATAAGTGGTTTCTTCAGTTTACATCGTTGGCTTACCACGCTTGTTTTGCCTTTTATGTTGAAAATACACAGATCTGTTTGCTTTACCTTTTGCATTTGCATTGCCTCTTTCTCACCTGATTTGCATTATCTTATTTTATTTATTTTTTATTTTATTTGTTTATTTATTTATTTTTGTCTTTTTGAGACAGGGTCTAACTATGCAGTTCAGGCTGGCCTTGAGCTCACTTTGTAGCCCAGGCTGGCCTTGAACTTGCAATGATCCTCCTGCCTCAGCCTCCCGAGTGCTGGGATTACAGGCGTGCACCACCACGCCCAGCCTTGCATTATTTTATAATGACTAAAATTTCAAAAGATGTGCTTACTGTCCCAATTTGAATTTGTTGAAGTATAGATGCCAGGAAATGAACATTGGCTTTGCTGTTCTTTAATTCTGAGTGTCAGGATGCCTTGGCAGATCTAGAAGTATCTGCTCCTCCTTTCTAATTGTGCCAGACATTTTCTCTGTTGACCTCCAGCCTTATAAATATGTTTGCTGTACTCTCGCTTGTGCCCGCTCTCTCTCTCTCTCTCTGTGTCTCTCTCTTTCTCTCTTACCAGTTCCTATATCTTCTTCCTAGTATCTAAGTTCACTCAAGAGAAGGATGGGTGAGACAGTTATGTAACACTCCTAACCCACCCACTACTGCCCACGCACCCAGTACCGACACCTCCCTTTGCATTCCACTCGCTTCCTGGCCCTCAGGGTCTGGATGATAGACTCTGCCTACTCTACCTTCTCCAAGTCCCACGCAGGGTCACAAGCCTGTGAGGGTGTCTTCCTCCTGCTGCTTTGCTTCTGAGCCAATTTCCTGCCTTGATTTCAAAGTCCCTTCACAATTTAGCTCCTTCCATCTTCCTCCCAGGACCCTTGCTGTGTTCCTCCAGGCACGACCGGTCTCTGGGGACCATGCAGGCTGATTTTTTACTTTCTGTGGCTCTCCTCTCTGAATTCTTGTTCTTTTAGAAATACCCATGCTTTTTAAAACCCAGTCATAGCATCCGTACTTTTGCAGAATTCTTATATCACTGTTTCATCTTTTTCAGATTCGATAGGCACACCCAGGCCACCACACTGACTTATCGGATATTTTGAGGATATCTAAGATTGAGAGGTCAGCTTTTGTTCACAAGTCGATAAAGTGGCACATGTGTGTGGTATCAGAATGAAAATAGTAGAAATAAGGAGAAGTAGAGACTCCCTCCCGCTTCCCAGAGGCAGCCCCGTACCAGTTCCTAGAATATCCTCTGGGCAGTCTCTTACTTGTGAGCAAACTGAGAGCCAACTATAGAATACGTTTATTTTTCCTTTAACCTTAGTAGTAACCTTTCTACTTGAGCACATAGAGGTCTAACAAGTCCTTTTTTTTTTTTTTTTGTCTTTTGGAGACAGGGTCTCCCTATGCAGTTCAGGCTGAACTCGAGCTCACTTTGTAGCCAGGCTGGCCTCGAACTTGCAATGATCCTCCTGCCTCAGCCTCCCAAGTGCTGGGGTTTACAGGCATGGGCCATCACGCCCAGCTCTTTAAAAGGTTCTTTCACAGCTGCAGTAGTGTCTATTCGTTTTACTCTCCTATTGATGAATACTCAACTTTCTATTCTGCTGTTACCACCAGTGCCTTATTGAACAGCACCCATGTACTCATGCTTTTGTGTCTGTGTAAAAGTGTACACGATAAACTCTTAGTGTTAGAATTTGAGTCATAAGATATATTTTAAACTTTTATACTGACAGGCTGTCATTCTAAGAGATCATACCAGTAGTGTACAACGGGTGAAATTCATGAGACTTTTTCCTACACTGTGTATAAGATTAACTTTTTTCCCAATTTAGTACAAAAAAAGTTAAACTGTTCTAATTTTTTTACTTTGAAGTAGTATTTGTATTCTGTAATTTCAATGCCTGAGACTGCCGTACTGATTACACTTAGCTTATCTTTTGCATTTTATTTTTATTTCAGTCCAATCTTTAAATTGCAAGGGTGTTTCAGATACTTTTGAGCCATGTCTTGATATCACATTGGAGATAAAGGTAAATTTAATAGTTTTTGTTGTGGTTAAGTTTTAAATCTTTTTTACTCTTTAACTTTCTGCTTAATAAAACCGGGGGTTTTTTGTTTGTTTGTTTGCTTTGGTCTTTTTGAGACAGGGTCTCACTATGCAGTTCAGGCTGGCCTTGAGCTCACTTTGTAGCCCAGTTTGGCCTCGAACTCACAACGATCCTCTTGCCTCAGTCAAACCAGGTTTGACATCTCTTTTAGCAAACCTCAAATGGCTCCTGTTCTTTAAAAGCTGTTTTAGCATCTTGCATTTTCTGAACTACATTTGTGTTATTCTTGAGCTTTTGCTTCTCTGATAACAGATGTAACATGCTTATGATGAAAAGCACAAGCACTGTAGATATATTAAATCCGCCCTTCACCACTGTTGCTCTTGGTCATCTGCTATGCACTGCATCAGAATAGAGTAGGTCCATTTTATAAAAACGAGACTATGGGCAGGGCACAGTGCTGCATGTGTATAGTGCCAGGACTCTGGGAGGCTGAGACTGGACAGCATAAGTTTCAACCCAAACTGGGCAACTTAGTGAGACTCTGTTTAAAATAAAAATAAGAGACGGGCTGGGACTACAGCTTGGTGTGAAAGCCCTGGGTTTGATACCCAGTATTGCAAAAAAGAAAAAAAGAGAAAAATTTTAAAAAGGGATTCTACCTTAGTCTGTTTGTCTACTTGCTGTTTTCCTTTCCCTCTGCTTGGAGACCTTCCACATCAGCGTGTTTGGGCAGTGGGTAGTGGTTCTGTAGGTGGCTAGAGTTCCGTGTTGCTTGCTACTTTTACAGCATTCTAAGTAAACCTGCAGTAAGCCACCTCCATACATATTTTTGTTCACTTTAATCTGCTTGCTTTTAATTGGGGTGAGGCTAATGATCCTAAAGAAAAACATTTTTGTGTGTGTATGGCATTGGGGGATTGAACCCAGGGCCTTCTACCACTTAGCCACATTCCCAGACTATTTAAAAAAATTTTCTTGAGATTGACTCAAAGTTGCTCAGGCTGGACCCAAACTTCCAATCCTCCTGCCTCAGTCTCCCAGGTAGCTGGGAACTCAGCAGCATCATACCCATAAAAACATCCTTTTCATAAAAATTCTCATTTGTTTCTGGGTCTTCTGCTTGCTTTGCCTGTCCGTCTGTCACAAACCATGACAATGCACATATTTGTGCTTTTTCCTCCCAGGCTGCTCCGAGCGTTAACAAGGCATTGGAGCAGTTTGTGAAGCGGAACAGCTCCATGGCGAAAACTGCTACAAGTGTAGCAAGTACGATGGGGGGTGACTTGCAGTCCCTGACATGGCTGCTCCATTTGGGATGACAGGCAACCTTGGCTGTAAAGGGTGTGGTGTGTTTGAATGGCCCGCTAGGTTGCCTTAGCTCCTGATGCCCTCTCGGAGACCCTGGCTGTCTGTCCCCCAGAGGCCGGAACTTGCAGGTCCGGTGTCTGCACTCTCTCAAGATGGGCAGCTCTGCACCCTTGGTGAACTAGTGCTGCCACCTGATGCCACAGTGCTGCCACAGTGTCTGTTAAGCAGAATCTTCCTTGACTCCCCTGTCAGAGGAGACTGGAGGGAGGGTGGGGTCACCTTCTACCCCAGCAGAGTTCAGGATCTTTCTTACACTGGGTACCCACGGGGGACAGTGTCTGCTGGAAACTTCTCATTTACATTATCCAATAGCGCATTTGCACAGGCAGTCAAGGGAGTCAAGGGAGTCTGTCCCTGTTTCATTTGTTTTAAGTAGATTTTCACTTGATAGCCAGGTGATACAGATATCTATATTAAATAATCTTTTCTTGTCAACTAAGTGTTCAATATCTGGGGGAAGACGGTGCTTTTATCTTCAAGACTAGGGATTTTTCCTGACACTTTTCATCCTTTTTTCCCCTTTTGTATCTGGGTAGGGCTTTGCTTTCACAGAATTATACCAGCCTAAAAAACCAGTTAGCTTTCAGTGTTTTCGAATTGAGTTAACCTATGATGTTCTTCTTCTGCAGTGCTAGGGGTTGGACTCAAGACCTTATGCATGCTAGGCCAGCGTCCCACCTCTGAGCTACACCCCCAGCCCACATTAATCTTTTTTCACATCATGGTGCCCTGTGCCGCCTGATGTTTCAGAATTGTGCTTTCTTTCCTGTCATGCTACTCGGCAATTTCCCCCAGTTTCGTTTGCTTTTCTGTTTTGTTTATTTTTTGTTTTTTGAGACAGGGTCTCTCTATGTAGTTCAGGCTGCCATTGAACTCATTATGTGTAGTCCAGGTTGGCCTGAAACTCATGGTGATCCTCCTGCCTCAGCCTCTCGAGTGCTGAGGTTGTTTTTGTGTGCCACCATGCCTAGCTACCCCCAGCATTTTTAATTTAAATATTTCCAGTGTTTGCTTGGAAGAGGGAGGAGGCTGTTCCTTATGTATTAAGCTTGTTTTTGAATCTTAAATTAGAGTGTTTCAGACAAATAACAAGGGAAAGACTAAAACACCAAAAAATTCACACTTTGATCTTCTTAATCTTTTGTTTGTTTACCTCAAAGTGGAAAAATATGGTTCTGGCTTCAAAGAGGCTTTCCATACATAGATCATCTAATGTTCTTAGACTTTCTCTGAAACGCTTTCCAAATTATTTTGGTAGAAAGATTGCCAAGGTATGTAGATGATGTTATTAATAAGCTTTTATGTGAAGCCAAGACTTAAGTGCCGGTAGCTGTTAAGGATTACAAAAGACCTAAGGAACAATTTGTTGATTGACTTTATAAGCTTTTCTTGCATTGGCTAGCAGGGGAAAGAAGTCAAAGTATTGAGTTAAGAGTTTGGTCTGTGTGCTGATGAGTATGTATGTGTTTACTGTAGTCCTGGGGGCGAGCCTGTCTAGTGATAAAATTAGGAACTCATCAGTGTTTGAACTTCATGGTCAACCCTCTGATATCCATGGTAATGGGAGGATACAGGGAGAGAGTGGACAATTTGAAACCCAAAGAGGACTTCCCCACTAGATCTTGCCTCTCTTTCATCGAAGTTTATTTTCTTGTTTTCTGATTTTTCACTTACACTGAATTTGCCTATTTTCTCCTCACTTACTGAAGGTTGAAAGGGTCCAAAATTCAATAGCAAAGCTGAGCATGGTGCACTCGGGAGGCTAAGGCAGGAGAGTAGGAATCTTGGGCCATGCTGGGCTACACAGCGAGTTTAAAGCCAGCCTGGTCTAGATAGTGAAGTCTTATTTCAAAAAACAAGTAAAAAATGCAGTGACATAGAAGAGAAATAACTAATACATTCTTAAGTTATTTGAAGTGGCCTGGTAGGGTGGCATATGCCTGTAATCCGAGCACTAGGGCAGCTGAGGCAGGAGGACTGCTGCAAGGTGAGTCTAGGCTACATAGTGATTTCAAGGCCAGCCTGAACTGCACAGTAAGACCCTGTCTCAAAAAACCAAAGTAATTAATTAAAATAATTGGTGGTGAATGTCCAGAGTTGTCATTTTGTGACTTTAGTGTATCGTGGATTTGATACGCAATAGTCACAGTGGATCCTTACTTGTTTAAGGAAAATAAGGATAGCGAGAATGCCTTCACTACCCTTAGATCGGGTGTCTTCCAGGTTAATCATGTCCTTTGAAAAGTGATGAAATGCACTGGGCTTCTGCTGGAACAACACAGCATTGTGCGGGTTTCCTGGGACACCCTAAACACCCTGCACCTGAGTATGGGGGGCCTTCGGTGCCTTTAGAAATGACATTGCTTTCTCCTTTGTCCATCTCTGTTTAGGATGTGAAATATCCTGAGTATCTTGATATTCGGCCATACATGTCTCAACCAAATGGAGAACCCGTTATTTATGCTTTGTACGCAGTGCTGGTCCACAGTGGATATCATTGCTCTATAGGCCATTACTTCTGTTACGTGAAAGTGAGCCATGTGGATTTTGCTCACTGCCTTTACATAGACTCTGTAGGACAGCAAGCACTAGCATTCTTTAAGGAGGGAAGGTGGGAGTTTTACAATTAAAGTGTGAATGCTTCTTTTTCTTATTCTTTTTATTCTGTCCTTGTTAACCTGACACACTCTAATCTTTCCCTCTTACTGGCTGTCTTCCGCAGGCTAACAACGGCCTGTGGTATCACATGAATGACTCCACCGTATCTCCTAGTGATATTAGATCGGTACTCAGCCAACAAGCATATGTGCTCTTTTATATCAAGTATCCTCATGAAAACAAGTTACCACACTCTCTGTAATGTCATTTCTTTTCATGTCACCCACATTCAATTCCATTTTGAGTTTTTTTTTTATTTATTCATTTATTTATTTCTGGTACCAGGAACCGAACTCAGTACCTTGTGCTTGTCAGGCAGGTGCTGTGCTGCTGAGCTATATCCCCAGCCCTTGAGTTATGTTTTAAAAACCAGAGTTTAAGGTTTACCCTGACGCATGCGTGGAGAGTACAGAGGCCACTTCTGAGTACGAACTATGAGCTTGCGTCAGCTTGCTGCTCTTCGGTACTCAGTGCTGCAGATGCAGAGGAAGGGAGAGGTGACAGCTGGGGGCAGGTGGCTTATGCTGTTGGCAGCAGACGGAGTGGACCTGGGGATGTGGAGGCCCTGGGTGAAGGGCTTGAGAAGGGCCCTCTGAGCACCCTGCACGGTCCCACCCAGCACCTCCCCAGTGCTGAGCACAGTGCTGGTTAGGCATCGGCCTGGGCTGGGACCAGCATTTGGGCTGATCCTGCTATAGCTGCAAGCTGACTTACAATTCCACTTTTGGGAAAAATAATCTGATGTGTACCCCACGGTGTCCCCCACCCCTCTGTTTCTTCCATGCTGGAACCCAGAGCCACGAGCAAGCAAGACAAATGCTACCACTGAGTCACACTCCAGCCCCTCGGGTGTCCCTTTTAAGTATGGTAGCTTGAGGTTAATACCCTAAAATGTTCAACAACAGCGGAATGATGTGGTGAAATTTTACGCCTTTGTTGAGTGATTTTTTCCTTTCTTTCTTTTTTGAGACAGTGTCTTGCTATGTGGCCCATCGCCTGCTAACACTGATTGTTATAAACCATTTCTTTAATGCTTTGGTAAAGTGCTGAGTGTATGTGGAGGGAAAGCAGTTCGAAATATCAAAGCCTGGTGTTGGGTGAAAGATGGGGGACAATCTGTCTAGTCAAAGGGGAACCATCTCTGAGAGGGCAACGTGTTCTTTCCCTATTTTTCTGGACACTATGGGTTTTCTAGCATGTTATGTATTTTTAATTTTAAAATACAAACAGAAAAACTAGCCTTCTGATATCAGCATCCTCAGGATACAGAGTTTAAAAATACCATTTCCTTTACCCAGCTGCCTTGTGTCCTGAGCTGAGCACCCCGACACTGACCCACACCCCTAAGGGAGCTAATGCATCGGATGGGTCTGTGCAGAGTGACTGAGAAGCAGTATCTTTGCCATCAGTGTCTTTCTGAGGAACTGAGTTTGTAAATCTGTCTCTACTAAGATGTCCTCCATCATCCTAAGCCCTCTCATTCTTTGTCCCCAGGTCCCACGATGTGAAAAACTTAAGTGAACTTACTCATTCCACCCATTGCCCCGGCCAGTCCTCTCCCCACCCGGTCATCAGTCATCGGCGTGTTGCCAACAAGCAGGCTACATCCGGCCTGCTGGCCCACAGCTTCCCTCTCACATGAGAAAGGTAACACTTTAGAGGTGGCGTCTGAGTTTTACCTCACTCTAAGTTCTATCCTCAAACCCCCTCTATACCTGGATTTCTTGTCAAAAAAGTTTATGCAGACCCTTTATTTCAAAATATTAAATATAGAGGACTGGGGATATAGCTCAGTGGCATAAGTGCCTGCCTGGCAAGTGCAAGGTCCTGAGTTTGATTCCCGGTACCAAAAAAAGAAAAAGCACCCACTAAAGTATTAAATATACAGGAATCTCAGCATGAACAGGTGGTGGAGAGGAACATCTGATGTGGGTATATCTAAAGGTTAGCACTCACTGTGGACTTGCGCTCCACTCAACGGTTAGATAGGTGAGTCTGTAAATCATGTTAGACATCAGGAAAGTGATCCTGTTACAAGGACACTTTATGTCCACATAGCTGTCTTAGAAGTGTGCTGTTTTTCCATCTGCTGTCCCCAAGGGTGTGATCGTGCCCATGTGCCTTTGTGCCCAAGAGGCCTGACATGGTCCACAGGGTGGGGCCTGCCCTCCAGAACCCCTGGGTCCCCATGCCCAGGCCACCTGCAGCTTGAACTGCACTAGGTCATCGTGGCTGTCAGGTTTTATAGCTTTTCAGTTTGACTTTGGTTTGAACTGTCAGATTATCTAGTTGAATGCTTTTTTTTTGGGTAGACATTGGGCTCTATTTCAGTTAAATGCCTTTGTGAGCTGGACAGAGAGCCAGCCTGAGTTAGGCTCTGCTTCAGTGGGGGACAGGCAAACCAGAAAGTGTGTGTGTAGGGAAAGGAGCAGCTGTGATGGACTTTTTTTTTCTGGTACTGGGAATCAAACTCACGACCTTGTGCTTGCCAGGCAGGTGCTGCACTGCTGAGCTATATCCCCAGCCCAATTAACTTTTTAAGAGTTGTTTGGATTTTTAAAGGCACAGCTAATTCAAATATTTAAGAAAATACTGACAGGCCAAACACTATTCGTCTGTGAACCAGCGTCACCTGTGTTGTCAGAGGTTCAGCAGTAGTAGTGGAACCCAGAGCAACAGAACTGTATGAGTACAATGCCGAGACAGCACTGGGTGGAGGCACGCAGTCGTAACCTCACATGCAGTGCCTGAAGCAGCCTTTCCTTCTGCCCATGTGCTTTCCCCTTGCTTGGAGGTCAGCAAGCTGACCTTACTTCTGTCTGTGCAGTGGTGCCGTCCCTGGAAGCCAGCCGAGGAGAACATAAGTGAACCCATGCCAGGAGGGTTATGTTCTGACAGACAAATTTGTCCCATGTGTGGATTAATTTCCAGAAAATTAGGGCCTGTGAAAGGTGCACGTGGATAGAGCTGATGAAAGAAAAGGGAGGTGTTTATGATTTGTGTAACCCATCAGTCACAAGACCAAAGTAGGCAGGCCGTTGGCTGGGCAGACCCTGATTCTGCAGTGCTGACCTGGCTGTGGCTTTCTTCCTTGCAGATATCACCTCACTTGAACGGGACCAGGCCTCTGAAAGACACGCCAAGCAGTTTCATGTCCGGTCTGAATGGAAGTCCCAGTGTCAGCAGGGCTCGTCCTGCTGACACTCCTACAGGAGTTAACAGCTGCCCTGGGATTGCAGAGCACCCTAAGGAGCAAAACCTCACCATCGGCATTCAGGACAAGCCTGTTCTCCAAGCACAAACTCAGCCTAACCAACATAGCAATTCCGGGGAGGCCTCTAACAAGCCTGTCCCTCCTACTGCCATCAGCTGCTCTGCGATACAGTCCTTCTTGAATGCACTGACAGTGCTGGTTTCTAGTGAGGCAGCAAAGCCACTCTCCCCAAGCGAGTCATGCTCCAAACCGGTAATCAATGGCGGATCCAAGGTGAGCTCCAGTGTGCTGGTCCCCTATGGTGCACAGTCATCGGAAGAGTCTGACAAGAGGTCCAAGGGCCTGGCCAAGGGGAACGGTATGGGCAGGATAGCCACAGCTCACGGTGCTGGCCATAACGCCGGAGATGAGGAGGCCCCGCCACATGAGCTTCAAGAACCTGTCACTCTAAATGGTGCTAATAGTACAGACAATGACCCGAAGGAAAACGGCCTGTCATTTGAGGGTGCCAGTTGCCAAGTCCAGCCTGCTTTGCACTCAGAATATCCTTTTTCTAAAGCAAACGGTCTTCCTGGAGTGGAGAGTTGGTTGGGGAAGGCTTGGTTTTGAGCCTCATCTGTGGCCCCTTCACTCAGCCAGATTTTGGTCAGCACGGAGCTCACAGCTAGTGCTGAAAGGTCTTATTTTTTATCATAGTTACCAGCTGCTTCCTTGCCTTCTATTCCACAAGACAAACCCTTAGAGACCTTCAGGCTTAGTGACGAAGTAAAAGGCTCAACAGATGAAACCAGGTAAAGTAAGAATAAATTCAGAGGAAGTGAACTTCACAGTAGAAAATCCAGCGCTGAGTGGATGTGTCAGCGTTTTAACTCTGTAAAAGTGTTACAGTGAGCATCCCGAGCCCCCAAATTTGAAAAACAAGTCTATAGGATGTGTTCATTTGCCTTTGAGAAGACTTAGAAAACAGTCTGCTACCGCTTGTCGTTTTCTTCTGTGCCGCCTGCTCTAGCTCGCAGCGCCCGTGCACACTCCTGCATCCGCTTCCACGTGCTTTCTCATGTCACCTTTTCAGTGATGAGTGAGTGTCTGACGGGCATACTGAGTTTAGAGGAAGAGGAGTCCCAGAACTGTCATGAAGCAACTGTTTTGTAAGGGTCTCTCTAGAAATGTGAAATTAAATTCACGGAGAATATAATTTGCCTCCGCATTCCATTTAAGAAAAATCAACACATTGGCGCAGGTGTAATGTGACTCGGGAGTAAGAGGAAGGGAATTGGAAGTGCAGCCGTGGCTGCCTCGTGTGGAAACTGCAAGTGAAACTACTGCTGCAGGACACAGGGCATCACGTGGGGCATCAAGTGGTGCTGCCCGCCCACCCACAGGTACCCTGGATGACCATGCAGTGTAAGCACTACGTCCACATTTGGGCTGTCCTGCTGTGGTGGTGAGCGACGTGTGGTGAGGTCCCGGCCACATCACAGTGTGACCATCTCTCAGTTGCACAACTGTTGGATTCCCAGAGTGCAATGTCTGTGACAACTGCAGCAATAACATAACTGGCATTTTCACCCTCGTGGATGTGAGGACTTGGGGGGAGGAGCCTTCCTCCATGGCGCTGTGGCAACCTCGGATGCCCCGAGAACAGAGTTAGAGATGTGGAACTGTTTAAGAAGAACAGAGAGGCAGAGAGCACGTGTTCCCACTTTACCTTAAGATAGAATGGCTGGGTGTGCTGTCATTCGCACAGTGACTTTCCCCTTGTTTCATTCCTAATCCACCGTGGTCCCCAAATTCAATGTGCAGAGAATTATTACACATTCACATACACGAGGCCATGTATGTACCCAGCCAAGCGCACCTTCCTTCGCGTGCAGCCCCAAGGGTCCCTCTTCTACACTCACGGCAACTAACTTTCCATAGGGATCTGGTACAGGTCATCTCCTCACTGAGGAGTGGAAATCGCAGTAGGTGTTGTATGGCTTCCTACAGCTGTCAACTAACCTTGAGAGTGCATCAAAAGCTTCCCAGCTGCCAAGGGCAGCCCATATTTCCTACAGGAGGTTTTCACAGAACCTCAGTGAGTCCCCGCTTTCCGTAATTCGAGGAGCTCTGTTGGCTCTGTTGGGAAAGAGCTGCCCTCCAAGAGAAAGAAGTGAACCAGGATAATCATCAGCCATTGTCATTTGGTTTGTTTAGACTTAGGTCTTAAGAATTAGAAATGTGTCTGGAAACAGGAGAAGTCAAGATCTTTAGAATTACTGTTGCTGAAAAATAGGGTTGATAAAATTTTTATTTTTATTGAATAAAGAGAAAACTTGGTGTCCAGAGATGATAGCCTGATAGTGGCTTGTAGCCAGCTATAGTTAAAGTGATAAAATATTTAGTAAGTGTAAGCCATGACAAAACCTCTGTAGCAGTCCTGCTAACTACTAGCCTGTCTCTTCCTTTTGGCAGGCATGGAGTCCACCTGGAACAGAGAGAAGCCCGTCAGGGGAGCTTGCGACCCAGAGTGCCGCTGCTGGTTCCCATAAGACACTGGACCCCATCACAAGTCTGTGCAGCAAGTTTAACCAGGCTTTACTGCTCTCAGTTTACCTGAGCAGAGAGGAGTGTGGTGACGCACAGGCCCCATCCGGGAGCACAGGTGTATCTGCTGTCACGCTGCCCTCTGCCCCGCCACCGAGGACCACAGGCGCCCATCCTGAAGGGGGCCCTGAGCACAGTCTCGGGGAGAGGTGCAGCGAAGGCAAGGCTGGAGAGAAAGTTCCACATTACCCTCCAGCTAAAGAGAAAATGAGCAGCTTTAGCAAAGTTAACCGAGGACATCACCATAACCGCCCAGACCGCTCCTCCAGTAGGGAATATGTGCACAAAGGGAGGAGTTGCAGTCAGAGTCCGAGTCGGAGGCCGAGTCGGAGTATGAATCGGAGTAGAAGTCGGAGCAGGAGTGGGAGCAGGACTGAAGACCATTGTCACGAAAAGCGACGCTCCTTCACCAGAAGGCACAGCAAGCACCAGTGCCACGCCGTGGAGCACCGCAAGAGGAGCCGGCACCCTCTGTGCTGTGGTGAGTCAGCCCCGGCAAGCACCGCAGTACGAGCAGGTACAGCTACCACCACTCACCAACCAGGAGCAGGGCTGACCAGGACCGGAGCCGCTACCACCACTCAGGCAGCGAGCGCGCCTGGCTCCGGGAGAAGCACTACCCCGAGAAGATGCGGCGGGCCAGGCGCAGGCACTACCCCGACAGGTACACCCCCTACGCAGTCAGTGAGCCCAGTATGAAGCGGCCACACAAGGACTCCTCCCGGGCCAGGAAGGGCTGGGAGCAGATCCGGTGAGGGAGCGGACCCACTCCACAGCCCGCGCGCAGGCGCTGCAGCCCCCTTCCCTCTGCACCCCGAGCGCTACCCCCAGGAGAAGGCGGCCTTCGGAGCTGATCACAGTGTCTGTGGCCTCTCGGATCGGCTTCATAAACATGAAAGCGTGAAGTCATGCAAACGCAGGTACCAGAGCACAGAAAGTAGGGACAGTCACGTGGAGACGAAGGCCCACAGGAGCCTGCCGAGAGACCTGGGGAGCCTGAGGCGAACAAACGCAAAAAATCAAAGAAGAAAAAGAAATAGAAAGACAAACACCAAGAGCCTGGCTACAGGTGAGGGCAGGCTCTGCCAGCAGGGTCTGAATTCCTCCTCTCCGCAGTTCCTGAGACTTCACTGTTTCTACACATTTCTAAAACGGTCCAGCTTTTAAGCTCTGTCCTACTTCATGTATCACAGAACGTCTCACTTCGCCCTTCTCGGTTAATGCTCTGTAACTCTCCTCGGAGGAAAGGTGAGTTCTGTAGAAGTAACCTGGGGATCTCTGACTTCCAGGTCGGTTGTCAGGTGTAGTCAGTTTCTGTTACATTGTTTTCAAATTTAGTGACTACACAGTTGGCAGAAAATGGGAAGGCATGGTTCTGTTGATATTTGCCTGCTGCCTAGAATGGAGGTCTGAGGGCGTCATTTATTTTCTTGGCCTTTATCTCTAATTTTCAATATGAAACCTAAATGTCTCTGTATTTTTAAAATGCTAAATAGGTTGGTTGTGTGTGTATGTGTGTGTGTGTGTGTTTTGCTGGGGATAAAACCCAGAGCCTTGTGTCCAGGAAGTGCTCTGCCAGTGAGCCACGCGCCCAACCCTGGCAGCTGCCTTGAAACCAACTGGTTCATGACAAGTCAGCATGCATGGAATCCCTGTGTATTCTAGTGGATTTCTTTTAAAATGAATCCTAGCAAAAGACTGCCAAAGCCGTATGTAAATAGGCAGTGGTTACTTTGGGGGGAAAGGAAATCAAATCACAAGTCTCTTCCTCCTCTGTGCCTGAGACACATGGCAGAATGTTGTCTCTTTCTCTTTCTTTTCTTTTTTTTTGTTTTCTTTCTTTTCTTTGGTTGTTTGTTTGTTTCTTTCTTTTTCTTTCTTTCTGTCACTGATTTCAAGACATGTCACTGAAGTCCTCCTGGCCATGAAGCTGGTGAATTTATGGCCCTGGGTTACTACCACTGAAAGTAGAGAACCTGTTTTCAGCTAGATAAGCATTTACCTGTGCCTGTACATTGAGCGTCCTCAGTAAGTGGTCACGACAGTGCCAGGTCCTGTCTGAGGTGGTGCAGGGGTTTGGGTTGCTAATTTCTGGCTGCTGCTTCTGCAGGTATCAGCTGGATCCACATGTTCTGATAATGTACTCTGACGCTGACCTCTACAGACACAAAAAGAAGAAGAAGAAAAAGAGGAGGCACTCAGGCCAATCAGGAGATTCTGCAAAAGGCCCAGGACTGCACTCACCGAAGGCTTCAAGCTAGGAGACTGTCCACCATTTCCGGACACCTGAGGGCAGCTTCCTGCTCCACAATGGCCTGGCTGTGGAGGTCAACAACCTTTTCCGAAAGAAAACCAAGCATTTAAGGATGGAGAGCAGGGCCGACAGGTGCCACTGGGTGGAGCATGGCCATGGTAAGAGGAAATTCTTGGAACTGAGAAGAGAAAAACTCTTGATAAGTTTTTTTGGAAATGGCAACTCACACATGGAGAAGGAACCTCAAGTGCCTTGAAAGGGCACTGGAGTAACACAGGGCTCTGGCCTCACCTCCCTCAACTCCCAAACCCTGTGTGATTCGTTTTCCCTGTGTAGTTTGGGTACTTGATGCTGCTCCGTTAGCACTGAAGTATGGTTACATGGAACTGGAATTTATGGCACTCCAGGTGTCTGAGTATTTGCTCACAGGGGAGAACTTGTTTGTTTTCCAAGCATTTTTAGTGGCGATGCTTTTGCACTATTTGCTTTACTCTGCTAATTTGTTAAAGCACCCAGAGTGTATCCTAACTCATAATGTGACGACATGGGCCATTAGAAATGTTAGCGGCCGCCTCTTACCAGCAATGCCTTTGAGGCTCCTGGCATCGCTGTCTCACTCCAGGCTACTGGGTGTCTTGGATTCTTGTGTGTAGACTGTGTCTTCTCATAATTTAGCGGCTCTTTGCTCTCTGATTGCTCTTGGACAGCCCCGCCCCCTTTCTAATGGTTCCCTGCCAAGGATCCCTGAGAAGCTTGTTAAGAATGAAAGTGATAGGATTCGGGGCCTGGGGCACAGGTTGGCAAGCTGTTGCTCGAAGGCCAAAGCCGGCCCTGCACCTGTCTCACATCACCTGTGAGGTAAGAATGGCTTTCGTGTTTTCAAAACTTCCAAGGAAGAGTAGTACTGTGTTTCACCTGAACAGTGTGTGAAATTCAGATGTCAGTGTCTGTAGACTTTGGCTGAAGCACAGCCAGTGGTCTGCGTGCTGCTGGCGCTCTTGACAGAGGTGAGCAATCACAGCTGCGATGCATAGCCCGCCACACTCTCAGTGTTCGTCACGTGGCCTTTCACAGAAAAGGAAGTTTGCCAGGCTCTGCCCTAGACACTGCGGAGAAATGTGTTCTCTTGGGGAGTCCCAGGCAGGGGCAGGCCCGTGGCTCCTGTGGCCCCTGGTTGGGTGCAGTTGTCATGGGTGTGAAGAGAAGCAGGCCTGAGAAACGCGGAGACCACCACAGGGGGTACGGGCAGACATTGCTGCTGCCAGGACTGGAGGGAATGTGGCATTTGCTCTAGGTTCACACTAACATTTCAGCAGTTTGCAGAAGGGAATTGGTCTTTCTCACCTCCATGTGGTACCTGAGGATCAGATATTGAGACGATTAGGTCTGCGTGTCGGGCAGGGTCCCTGCATTGTCAGAGTCCCTCATCCTGGCAGGGCTGATCAAGCCCCAGAGACTGCCAATCTGGGGACAGCAAGCTGCCCTACATGGTGCTGGCATGGCATTCGGGGCTGAGCCCACTTGTCCACTGCAGGTGCCGCAGGCAGGTCGTGTCTGAGTGGTGGCCGAGTCTGTCCCTAGTCCAGGGGCACTCATGACTGATTGGCAGCCAACACGTCTGGGCTCCAGGCCTCCTGAGATAGGCCTAGGCTGAGGGCGACACTCTGCCATCTCCTATAGCCTTGCCTCCATGTCCTTTGAACACTCACCTTGCTCTTACAAACTCCTGACCTCTGGCTCCATTCAAAGCTGGTGCATTTCTTTGGCCGTGGCCTGAAGTCTGTTCACCCTGCTGTGAGAACTCAGCAGTGTGATGGGGCAGGCGTGGCCTGTTCCCTAGGGCCAGCCCCTCCAGGTATCTTCCAGGGGAACAGCGGCCCTCCAGCATCCTGGGAACTCATTTTGCTTTCAGGAGGACACTTGTGCCAGCCTGTGCTCGCTCAGTCTGACGTGGGGCTGAGTGCAGGCAGCCAGTGTTAAACTATAGGAAAACTAAGTCTAACTGTAACCACTTAATGCATACCCAGAGCACAGACACTACAAATTGTACAAAGTCATTAAAATGTTTCCTAACCTTTGCCTTCCAGGTGATTAAAACCTTGGCCTCAAACAAAAAATGCACTAGATAAGGCAAGCACTTTCCTGTCTTCCCATTCTCTTTGTAGAAGCACTGAGAGGGGACAGAGACAGCATTTAACTTCTGAGGAAAACCTAAGGCGTGGAGTGGAGCTGTGGAAACAGAAGCAGGGGCGGGGGCGCTGAGCTCCAAGCCAGCACTGGAGAGCGCGGGGACCTCTTTCCTCATCAGCTTGCTAGGACTAGGGCAGCCTTGGCA